GATTCCTTTGTGCTGGCCGAAAGTATAACACCATCCGGTAATCTGTGCAGCGGGGAAGCAGCCCTGAGTGTCATGAACTCAGGTGGGCCCACCTCCGAATACGTTTAGGAATCGTGGGCCGAAACGTGTGTCGAAAGAGGATAATTTCTACTGATGACTGTAGATCCCCACTGTACTTGCTCCCTGTGAGTTTTTTCTTATTGTACGTGGGCTAGCCCACAAGACTACCAGGAAAGACTGGTGACTATCGGGAAAGTCCTTTTGACACCTATGGAAAGACTGGCCCCCCGGTATCGCCGGGGGGATAAACTGACATCTGGAGACAGATGTCGACTGTGGACAGGGTTGATCACCCCTAACACAGTATAATACCTCCGATTGCGTTAAACCACAATGAAATATGCCCCCAGGGCCCTCCGAAAGGGGGGGGAGAATGAAGGGCCCAATCTGATTGATACCCTCGTTGACGACCTTGCTAGCCCCCGGACTGAGACACTCGCCCAACGTCCGGGCTGGCTCTGTACATGTGGGAAAAGCTTCACGGGGTTGCATGGTCTGAGAACGCATGCCGGAAGAATGAAATGCGAGGGTGCTCCACGCAGTAAACGCCCGTCGCAAAACTACTACTCCTGTGGTAGTTTCTGAGTCGTTAGGGAACGACGGGCAGGGGGAACCCCACTCGCCCGGAGAGGCCCATGACGTCGACTGCGGAGGAGCACCTTTGATGATTTCTGAAGAAGTGCGTTCCAGAATCAGGTTTCCACCTGCGAGCGAGAAGGTGGTGTGGTGTAAGTTGGAGGCTACATTATGTGAGGTACTTAAACAAACTCTAAACAAGAAGTCGCTAGGCGACAAGCTTACTAAATTTTGGTGATGTAATATATGAACACTGCTCCCGCGAGTTCGGGACAGTAGTAAAGGCACAGCCGGGTGCCAAGCAGAATACTAGCAGGAGGCAGAGGGACATTCTGAAGTGTCGGGCAGACAAGAATGCCCTCAGAAAACGGTTCAAAGCCGCTACAGGCAGCGAACGGGAGGGGCTGTACGAAGTTTGGTTGCATTTAAAGAACAAACACAGTGCCCTCTGTCGCGCCGAGCGTTTCTGTAACAACAGACGAAGAACTAAAAGGGAGCGAGAGAAATTCTTTAGGGACCCGTATCAGTTCGCCCGAGGTCTATTCGAGCAACCGAAGTCTGGGACTCTGGTTGTCAGTCAGAAAGAACTTGAGCTACATCTAAGCAAGATGTACTCGGATAAAAAGAGGAGTGAGCCTCTCGATGACAATCCAGAGATCCTTAGCGGACTCAAACAGCCTTCGGTGCCGAAGGTACCATTTAAACTGGTACCTCCCCTTTGGTCTGAGGTTGAGGACGTTGTGAAAAAAGCCAGCGGCAAGTCTGCCCCAGGTCCGAACGGTGTTCCGTACGTTCTTTACAAGCGCTGCCCGAAAATCCTTAAAATGCTTCACGTCTTGTTGAGACAAGCGTGGATCCGCAATCACATATGTCCAGAGTGGTCAAAGGCAATTGGGGTCTACATTCCCAAAGAGCAGGACTCGAAGAGTCTTTCCCATTCAGGCCCATCTCGCTGTTGAATGTTGAGGGTAAGATATTCTTCTCAGTCATGGCTCGCCGGCTCACACAGTATCTGATGACTAACAAGTACATAGATACGAGTGTTCAGAAGGGTGGCATTCCAGGCGTTCCTGGGTGCCTTGAACACGCGACCATGATTTGGGAGGCTATCCAGAGAGCCAAGCATGAGAGAACCAATTTGCACGTTATATGGTTGGACTTAGCCAACGCCTACGGGGCAGTCCCCCATAGGCTACTGTGGCGAGCCCTTCGCATGTTTCACGTACCGACACAGATCAGTCAAATGGTCGAGCAATATTTCTCTAAGTTCGCTTTGCGCTTCTCTACCTCGACGTTTACCACGAGGTGGACTGAGTTGCAGATTGGGATAGCTATGGGGTGTACGATCTCACCCATACTGTTTGTCATGGCAATGCAGATCTTATTAGACGGGGCGGCCGGCTACGGACTGGGCCTTCAAATAGGGGATCACTGGTTGCCGCCACTGCGCGCATTTATGGATGACACGACTATTATAACGGGCAGCGAGGAGTCTGCCCGCACGATCCTGAATAGATTGGACGCGGTGGTCCAATGGAGCGGTATGCAGTTCAAACCGCAGAAGTCGAGGAGTCTGTCAATCCATAAGGGCAAGGTTTCGGCGACCAGTTTTACGGTGGCAAGGAACAAGATCCCTACGGTTCTGGAGGAACCGGTGAAGAGTCTCGGTCGCGTCTACGATTCGAAGTTATCTGACAGAGCGGAAGTCCGGCGAATACATGAGTCACTGGCTACAGGCCTGCTCGCGATCGAGCGATGCAGGCTGATCGGAAAATTCAAGGTATGGTGTCTCCAATTCATGTTGATTCCGAAGCTTCTATGGCCACTGCTAGTCTACGAGGTGACGATGACTGCAGTTGAAGCCATGGAAAAGAAAATCAATACAGCCTTAAGAAAGTGGATTGGAGCACCGCCTTGTCCGCATTGCCGAGAATACTCACATGGGGTGAGATCTGGCGGATGACCCCGCTGCGACTGAGCTTTATCGTTCGTTCGGCGTACGATGTATTACCGTCCGGTGTTAACATGGTTAAATGGTCTGCGACCAACGATCCGACTTGCCCGTTGTGCAAATCAAAGCAAACTCTTGAGCACGTCCTGTCCGCGTGCAGGAAAGCTCTAGGTCAAGGCCGCTATACCTGGCGCCACAACAAGGTGCTAAAGGAGTTAGCAGCCGTTGTCGACCAGGCTAGAATGAGGGCTAACGCCAGAGCCAGTTCTAGTATCGCCCCCATTCGTTTCCTCAAGGCTGGGCAGGTTCCAATCGGTAAGGTCAACAAAAAAACGCATTCGCTCCATCTGTACTAGACTCTGCGAGGGACTGGTTACTGGCGGTTGATCTGCCAGGACATGAACGGTATCCCGAGTTGATCCGTAAAACCGGCCTGCGACCGGACATCGTTCTCCATTCTGCGCAAAAACGGCAACTCATCCTGATTGAGTTGACGGTCCCGTTTGAGTCGCGGATGGAGGAGAATCATTTGTATAAGCTCGAGAAATACAGTGATTTAGCAGCCGGTTTGAGGAGAAACGAGGCTTACACAGTGCGGGTATTTGCCGTCGAAGTGGGAGCGAGAGGCCTCGTTTCCACTTCGCTCTACAATGTGGTTAAAGAGTTAGGATTGCGCGGTAATGAACGGAAACGGGCACTCAAAAAACTGGGAGAGGTGGCCGAAAGGGCCTCTAGCTGGTTGTGGACGCAACGCAACAACGTAGGGGACGGGCCTCGGTGAGTTGGTCCGGGTATCTAGTGGAAAAGAGTTTTCTTATCCCTTTGAAAAAGTCCATCGTGTACGAATTGTCTGCCAGTGTCTCTCTGCCAACTGCTAATAAAAGTCCAAGATGTGTCCGGTAAACCAAAGTAAGCTTGTCGCTCGGTCGTCCAGGCACGCTGACTGTTCTAATTAAGCTGCCGTGGCGACTTCTTATCTCACAGTACCTCCTTCGAAACCACTAAGTCGTCTTGTCTCTGGCCGAAAGTATAACACCATCCGGTAATCTGTGCAGCGGGGAAGCAGCCCTGAGTGTCATGAACTCAGGTGGGCCCACCTCCGAATACGTTTAGGAATCGTGGGCCGAAACGTGTGTCGAAAGAGGATAATTTCTACTGATGACTGTAGATCCCCGCTGTACTTGCTCCCTGTGAGTTTATTCTTATTGTAATCGTAGGCAAACTACAACTCGTCATCTCGAAGTAGTATTTCCTCAGTCTGTCTAAATCATTTCTACAAAGGATCTTTCTTGACATTACGATGTTTTCAAATGTATTTCTTATAATCTTGCAACCACATTTCACACGGTTGTCCTTTTCTTGTAGATGTCTGGGATTTTCTATGCATTCTAAATGCGTTTATTGTTGTGCAGAATGGCTTGCATCACTTCAAGGGACTCGGATCAGGTGCATGTCATGGATATTCTCCGTAGGAAATACACGTGGGCGAGGTAACGAGCAGGCTGATAGATTTACTGCTGTGGCTCCTCTCGGCGGGGAGTTACTTTATATTAAAGTGAACGTGCTGAAAGCTCTCTGGATTAAATTGACAGTGCAGAAGAGCAGATAGAAAATTATACATTAAAAGACTAATTCAACCAGGAGGGTAGGCTGGTGTGGGGTGTCAGCGACTTCCTTTATTGATTTAGTTCCTATGTCTCGTTAGGTAGGCCATCTAACAGACTTAACTACCCTATCATTTTTAGGGTGGCTCAAGATAAAGAGATTTGTGACCCAGATGATTTAAATGTGATATTTCTTTTTTTGTGCAAACACAAATGGTCGCAAATATTTCTTTCGAACGATTCTACTGTCATCTATTACAATGTGCTTTGACATAAACATTAAATCGTAATAAACTATCTGTCTCATAAAACCTTTCTGATGCAGAACGGTACGCTCTAGTAATATTTTTTCTCAGGGTCACCAATTTGGGGTTACAGCAATCAGGTCCGTAATTCTCTTCAAAACCGCATTAGCTATCTAATGGTTTTAAACTCACTTATGGGACTTAACGTTTAACACAGCGTTATCTAATATTTTAGAGTTATTGCCCCTGTCTGTCACATATTTCTTGGCTAGTATTCATCTCATGTATTCACACGTGTGTCGTAGCTTTAACTGGCCAGACAGACATGTTGATTCTTCTCAGAGACACCTCAGTTAAGTAACTTTGTGTATTCATGTTTTTAATTGTAACATCGGCTATTTATGTCATGTGCTGCGTTCTCTTGTTATTTGTGATTGTGACAATACGAAGCTGCCTTTTCGTTTGATTTTATTTCATTTCATGAATTACTCCGTATACAGAATGATCGCAGCATAGATGGCTACCAGGCGATGGCAGAGTTCCACGGAGAGCCTGGCAAATGTCCGTCTCCAACCGCCCTGCGGAGATTGGCATGCTGTATTCACGGTATCCCGACGTTTCCACACTGGCACCGATTGTTTGTGGTTCAGGTAAATAGATCAGAGTAGATCATTTGTTATCTGCATATCACTCGAATCTGATGTTGGCTAACGAGCCTTCTTTCAAGACGCTCGTCTACGGATATGAGGGTCATGGGTTTGGGACCTGACGGAACCCGCCTTTCTTTTAAAATGACCAAGTCTCACATGTTGACTCAGCCTTGAGTGGGTACTAGGTTTAGTCCTGGAGGAAAAAAGGCGGCCGGCGTAATGTTGACTACATCACCCACTAAGTGCCGATGGGTTTGTGTGCCCAATACGACTGAAGGCATGGGGAAGGGTTCTTTACTTTTACTTATGTAAAGAAGAAACACTTATCGTTGATAATTTTCTTACAGTCGCAGTGGCTGGTTGGTTCCTGGGTAGAAGCGATGTTATCAGTGGCATTAGCCATTAACTGATGGACATAGGGGAGCAACCTGCAGCTGCCAGAACTAAACGTTTCATCAAAGCAACAACAGAGTCTTTTGATTAACCAACACGGAACGTGAGTCGTCAGCTGTTTTAGGTTTCTGGAGCTTTTGAGTAGAATAACCTTTGGATCTGCTTGGAGTCCTATGATAATAGTACTCATTAATCTCTAACCATCTTCGAACTACACATCGGATTCAATTTCTCGTACATATGCTTCTCTGTCTGTCTGTCTTTTTGTCTGTCTCTCTCTCTCTTTCTCTCTCTTTCTCTCTCTCTCTCTCTCTCTCTCTCTCTCTCTCTCTCTCTCTCTCTCTCTCTCTCTTTCGCGCTCTCTGTCTCAACCACCCTTAATATACCATCGTCGTCTGTCAAACTGGGAAGGTCAAATGGTTATCAATTATCTTTCCATATTGTGTCCCTTGAACGACTTCCGGTCAAAATCGACGCCAGGCGCGGTTATTGCTTGACGTCGAGGCAAATTTTTGCTTCTGCCAGACGGTGGCCGTTGCATTTTTGATTCATTTGTAGACTGAAAGGATACAGTTTCGTCGCTCCAGCTACTAAGTTGAGTGCATGGCGCGATCCTGTGAGCTGCGGATTTCATTTGGAATGTTTTTCGACTGTGACCAACGTGGTGTTGTGAACTGTAGATTCAGAAAATGGCGCGTGGCCTGTCGTGAAATATTGGTGGTGCCCTAATGTGATTAATATTGATCGCGTGCGCAACTGCTGATCTGTCGACGACTTCTGCTACCGTCGATGATGAAATACATTTCTAATGTCAAACTGTTTGTGATAGCACTTCTGATGGCTACCGTATGCTTTTAATGCGTGTGTATGCTAGTGCATGTGCTGGGACAGCAGTCTGTCAATTCACAAGGGACTGCGACGAACATTCTGTGTGTTTTTTCGTTGGCACTGGAGCTGAGCAACTATGGGTTGACTCGTTTGCTATGAAGCTGGAACTAAGATTACCAAGATACTGTGTCCCTGTGTGGGTCCCAGGCCCCATTGTAGGAAGGGGGTGGGGGGGGGGGAGTACATTGACTGCTCCTCCAACAAGCATGTCGTAAGATTCGACTAATTAGGGGTTGTTCCTTTAAAGTCGAAGTGCATCTGCCTTAGAGGCGAAGAAACAACAGCTGCATATAAAAAGAAAAGTCACAACTGTAAAACGAATGTGCATGCAAAACTGAAGTTTTAGGAAAAGCCTAAAGTCCAGTAGTGCAGGGACAACTAGGACTTCCCCCCGAAGTTTATAGCTGGTGAAGGCTAAGAACAATAAAAGAAGAAGAACAGAAGAAGAACAGAAGAAGAAAAAAAGAAGATACTAGCTGTGTAGGCTCGACAATCATTCTTCTCCAATGGAATGGAGCCGGTGACTGTCTATATGTGATCTGGACAAAAATAAGGATTTGTTGTATTCTTTCTGAGGGGGCTGCGTGGTCTCGAGGCATGGTGTCCGCCTCCAATGCTAGAGATTCCGCGTTCAATCCCAGAGAAGGATCGGCATTTCTTCATGTTGACTTGGACTTCTAATAAATCCCCCTGGTATCTGGGTAGTGAGATCGGAGGCCCGTGTGCATTGTTGCGAACGTAAAAAATAGTTTGCAGTTGGAAATCAAAAATAGTAGCCTAACAGCGCTGCCCGGTAAAAATTTGGAGTTAAAAATCTACCCAAAGTATTTCAGGATCCTTGCCAGTGCTACAGAGCCTGTGCACTGTGCTGAGCTTCTTTGAACTCAGACTTGAGTTAGAAGAAGAACGGAGCACTTATGGGTTACTATCCGTGTGCGATGATGTTGATCTGTTGTTCAAAACCTCATTATTCTTTCTGTCAGTTCGAAGATGGACTTCGTCGCCGTGGCGCCCAGATAGGAGTCCCTTACTGGGACTGGACCAAACCAAATACACTCGTTCCTGCTTTGGCAGCGGAGTTAACGTTCACGGACCCTTATAAGTGAGTTTCACCTTCTTTTGTTATGTGTTTTGCGTTTATTTTTTTTTAACTCATGAGATTTGTTTCTGACTGTACAACACATACAAGCAAACTGGATACTATTTATTGGTGGGGAAAAGGGGGTGGGGTTGGACTGGTGGGAAGCATCATTATTTTTTTCAGAGGTAGAATAATAGACACTTTGTGGTAGGTAGTAGTAGTAGTACTACTTTCTACCCCACCAGGACATCACACAAGCGATAAACACCCGATGACACAAAGTGCCACCATGAGGATGAGGATCACCAGTGGAGAGGTCACAGAAACCGCGTTCAGCCTTTAGATCATATTTATGGCCGCGCTTTATTTCGGCCCCTGGAAAGAGCCAGGGTGTGGCTTCAAGATAACGAAGAATTGCATCCCACAAGTGGATGACTAATGTTAAGTGTTGTTGTGGTAAGTGCAGACACCTTTTTTTAAGTGATTATAGTCTAGAGACCGAATTCCTAGTTTAGCTAGTTAGTTAGTCTTTCCTCTTGTGTCGAGTGCGGCACATAGGGCAGAGGTCATGACTCTCCATGCATGGCGGTTCGTTGCAATCCGTTGTAGGTCTTGGATGTTTGAGTGGCCCATGAGCGAGCCTTCCCTGATGATAGTTCTACGTAGAGTTTCCCTTGGTCTTCCACGAGATCTTTTCCCCTGTGGTGTCCAAATGAGGGCTTGGTAAGGAAGTCTTGATTTATCCATTCTAAGGGCGTGGCCGACATAGTTCCAGCGGCGTTTTCGTATAAAATTAGACACAAACTCTTGCCTGGATTCTTGCCTTATTTGTGTATTTGTTCGGAAATCTGACCATTTGAAATTTAGTATTCTTCTAAGGCATTTATTTTCAAAACTGTCTAATTTTGTGTCTAGAGTTTTCTTTGATTTCCAGCTCTCGCATCCATAGGTTAGTACTGGAATCACACAAGAATTGAAGATCTTGAGTTTTGTGTGTTTGCTAAGTGTCTTTGATTTCCAGATGTTAGACAGTTTATTGAAGGCACTAGATGCCAGTGCTATTCTAAATGGTATTTCTGGTGCGGTATCTCCTGTAGATGACATCTTGCTCCCTAGATAAGTGAAACTGTTGACTTTTTCAAGGCTGTTGTTGTTCAGCGTGATATCAACTGAACTGTTGGTAAAGTCTAGAATTTTAACAGATTAGAACGAATCATCATGCAGTTAGAGTCAGAAATCTGATTCTATAACAATTGGTGGTTTTGCGATGACAGCTTGTCGGACCGTCGATCAACCGATATGCGCCGAGCTAGAAAGAAACACGTCCCGCCATCTTGACATAAACCGGAAACAAAAAGAAACAAAAGAAATTCAGTTAATAACTAGAGCTAGTTATTGTTGGTGCATTTCTGTCTGTGCTGACGATAGTGGTCGTTTGAGATGTATGTTAATAACCCAGTGTGTTGACAACTAATGTGACTAGCAAGACCCAATCGCATTCGGGCCAGGGATGAAGAATCTGTGGAGCTGATTTAGCTTTTATTTATTTATTTGCTTAAATTACTTATTGCTCTCCGTAACATGTCGACGTCTGAGGCTTAGGCGTTGCGAACGCGTTTCGTAATTCCGGGGTGCCAGGCTCGAACCCAGCTGTGGACCCTGCGCATTACGTTGGTTTCGATAGTGGTATCGAGAAGCAGACCGTCCAGTAAAAAACTTAAAAACTACTGGACGTAAACATTGCCTAAAAAAACCACAATAGACAAAAATGCTGGGGTTGGTTCTGCAACGTCCTGTAAAGGATACGCAACTGACTAATTCTGAAAAAGAGAGGGGTTTAAACGAATTAAAATTACGTCTATGTATTCAAAACGGTGCATGTTTACGTGTTTCTAATAGCAACGAGGAGAAGATTAACCCATTTCATGGCGCTGAGATTCTCTTTCTGAACAAAAGCATCCATACATCCCGGAACGTGTCTGCAAGTCTGACCCAGACTCCAGTGTTCGGCGACCATACAGAGCTATACGACCAGTTTCTACTGGCCTTGGAGCAGGACAACTTCTGCGATTTTGAGGTACAAAAATCAATCAGTTACCCGTGTATAACCGTGAGTCGTAACGTCAATAAAACAATACAACATTCTAATTCACATACACAAACAAACACACACGCTCACACACAGACACACACGAAGTTAGTAGCCTGTCCTTTGTAATACGATGCAGAACTAATCCCAGCATATTTTGGCAGTTAAAGTGTTTCTAGGCATTTTACGTCCAGTAGTTTGCCATTGCTTCCGGAACGGTCTGCTCTCGATACCACTGTTGGAACAAAACAAGGCGGTATGCTGTTAAATCGCTGGCAGCTGGGATCAAAACCGGCATCATGTCATTATGAAGTGCGTTCACAACGCCTAATCCACAAACGCCGACATAATTTACAAAGCATGTCGTAATAGAGACTAAGGATGGTTGGTTACCTCAGGCTATAGAACCCTTAGGCTGCGAGGTCCAGCATACCTCGAACATACCATTAGATAAAAGAATCTTATTGATAGTACTATGACTGTAAAAATAAGGTGATATTATCTATAGTACACCTTTAGCCGAGCAGGGAAACACAACATGGAAGAGTCATACATGTGGTTTTATGGACGAATGATGAGAACTCCCTGGGCGGATTAGGTTAGAGTTTAGACGACGGATCAACATCATGCCACAAGGGTAGTAACCCATAAGTGCCCCGTTCTATTTCTGATTCAAGCCTGATTCCAAAGAATCTTAGCGTAGTGCACGATCTCTGTAGCACGGGCGAGGAACCTGAAATACTTTGGGTAGATTTTAAACTTCAAATTTTCCTTTAGGCTACTCTTTTAGATTTCCAACTGCCAAAGTATTTTTTTTACGTGCGCAAGAATACACACGGGAGTCCACTATTACTACACAGAAACAAGGTAAAATTACTAGAACTCCACGTGAAAACATCCCAGCCTTCATCAGGGCTTGAAGACGCGACCTCCAGCACTCGAGGCGGACGCCGTGCCTCAAGACTACGCAGCCCCCTCCTCCCCCAATCCCACACCTTCCCTGGACAGGAAAAAAAAGTGAAATTAAGATATCTTGAAAGAAACTGACTTACGAAGAAAACTGATTGCCTATACCCTAAGAAGAAAATCTACATTCTTTTGTCACTTCATAGAAAGGTAAAAAACTGGAGTAATCGTAACGGTGTGAACATTGGAAAGAAAAGAGGCAGCTGGAGTCGAAGAAGTAGGACAGTTTGACATCATGGCATAGAAGATCATCTGTGTCAAAAGTGACTGTAATTACACGAGACAGAAGGTTGTGGATGGGACATGACTGCTATCGGTGCATGGTTTGGAAGACCATTAGAAATGATTGACAGTACACAAGACAGAAGGTTGTGGATAGACATGACTACCAAAGCTACACGGCATGGACTATAAGAAGTTGTTTAATAAATAGTACAGCAGTGCTACCACGTAAACCTCTTCTACAGGTGCTGCTGCTGTTGCTACCATACTACAATTGCTAATACTTCAACTACTACTGTTACTGCTACTACTACGACCGCTACCACAATTACCACCACACCACAACCACTACTAATACCTCATTTACTATCACTGCCATTGTAGCTGTTCTACTGCTACTGCTAGTACAACTACTAAAATCATTACTGCTACTTTAATTACTACTACTACTATTGCCGCTTTTAATGCTACTGTATTATTCCTACTGCTAACTACATCTGCTGCTACTAATACCGCTACTAATATCACTACAGTTAGTTTTAAATGACACATCCAAGAACGACTTCTGATTCCTCTACTAGATCCAGTTTCAGATGGCCCACAACTTGATCCACCTCCTTGTGGGCGGCAGCACCCAGTACGGGTTATCCTCGTTATCCTATAGCTCGTTCGATCCTCTGTTTTACCTTCACCACAGCAACGTCGACAGAATCTGGGCTATCTGGACAGCGCTGCAGCAACACAGGTCAGCTCTTGTTATTTCTGTTTTGTTACTAGTCTAAAAGAAGTGCCAAGTTCTTTCCTGGGGAGATAAGGCGGCTCGCCTGATGCTTATATCACCCATACGATACTGACTGGTCAAACAATGTTTGTCTCTAGCAATGTATACAAAGAAGACGCCATGACCGAGGCGCTAGTCGTCCCTCTGTCTGATGATATACCTGAGTTCAAATCCGCATCGAGTCGAACATTTTTTCTCACGCCGTCGGCTTCTATGTCTTTCCTGGCTCCCAGATGGCTCACGGCTCCCATGTCGTCCCTGGCTCCCAGATGGCTCACGGCTCCCATGTCATCCTTGGCTCCCAGATGACTCACGGCTCCCATTTCGTCCTTGGCTTCCATGTCGTCCCTGACTCCCAGATGGCTCACGGCTCCCATGTCGTCCCTGGCTCCCAGATGGCTCACGGCTCCCATGTCGTCCCTGGCTCCCAGATCGCTCACGGCTCCCAGATGACTCACGGCTCCCAGACGGCTCGCATGCTCCCAACCTAAAATTGTGCCATTTCAAGTATTGAGGAGTAAAGGCGGCCTGAGGGAAGTTGACCACAGCATTCGTTAAGTGCCGGCTTCTCTTTGAAAGCATAAGTCTAATCGGTGTGCCCATGAAAACTGTCGTCTACTTACTTTACTTCATGTTGCAACGTGTTAAGCCATCGCATATTATGTTATGTGTTCTGATATTCTTCGCTGTTCTGCTGTATTAAGTAACGCTATCAGAATCAACGTCACTGCAACTTTGGAACTGCAGTCAATGCAATCAGCTGCTATTAGCAGTGGTATTAATAGTAGTAGTGGTAGTAGTAGTGGTGGTGATGGTGGTGGTGGTGGTAGTATTAGTAGTAGTTAGTAGTAGCAATAGCAGCAGCAGCAGCAGCAGCAGTAGTAGTAGTAGTAGTAGTAGTAGTAGTAGTAGTGGTGATGGTGGTCGTGGTGGTGGTAGTATTAGCAGTAGTTAGTAGTAGTACTAGCAGCAGCAGCAGCAGCAGCAGCAGCAGCAGCAGTAGTAGTAGTATTAGTAGTTGTAGAAGTTCGACTAGTAGTTGTTAGTAATATTAGTAGTAATATTAATAGTAGTAAATTTAGTAGAAGTAGTAGTAGTAGTAGTAGTAGAATTAGTTGTTGTAGTTGTAATAACAGCAGTAGTAGTATCAGCAGCAGTAGTAGTATTAGTAGTTGTAGAAGTTCGACTAGTAGTTGTTAGTTATATTAGTAGTAATATTAATAGTAGTAAAGTTAGTAGAAGTAGTAGTAGTAGTAGAAATAGTTGTTGTAGTTGTAATAGCAGCAGTAGTAGTATCAGCAGCAGTAGTTGTAATAGCAGCAGTAGTAGTATCAGCAGCAGTAGTTGTAATAGCAGCAGTAGTAGTATCAGCAGCAGTAGTTGTAATAGCAGCAGTAGTAGTATCAGCAGCAGTAGTAGTATCAGCAGCAGTAGTAGTATCAGCAGCAGTAGTTGTAATAGCAGCAGTAGTTGTATCAGCAGCAGTAGTAGTATCAGCAGCAGTAGTAGTATCAGCAGCAGTAGTTGTAATAGCAGCAGTAGTAGTATCAGCAGCAGTAGTTGTAATAGCAGCAGTAGTAGTATCAGCAGCAGTAGTTGTAAAAGCAGCAGTAGTAGTATCAGCAGCAGTAGTTGTAATAGCAGCAGTAGTTGTATCAGCAGCAGTAGTAGTATCAGCAGCAGTAGTAGTATCAGCAGCAGTAGTTGTAATAGCAGCAGTAGTAGTATCAGCAGCAGTAGTAGTATCAGCAGCAGTAATAGTATCAGCAGCAGTAGTTGTAATAGCAGCAGTAGTTGTAATAGCAGCAGTAGTTGTATCAGCAGCAGTAGTAGTATCAGCAGCAGTAGTAGTATCAGCAGCAGTAGTTGTAATAGCTGCAGTAGTTGTATCAGCAGCAGCAGTTGTAATAGCAGCAGTAGTAGTATCAGCAGCAGTAGTAGTATCAGCAGCAGTAGTTGTATTAGCAGCAGTAGTAGTATCAGCAGCAGTAGAAGTATCAGCAGCAGTAGTAATATCAGCAGCAGTAGTAGTATCAGCAGCAGTAGTTGTAATAGCTGCAGTAGCATTAGCAGCAGAAGCAGTAATTGTTGTTGTAATAATAGTAGCAGCAAACTGAGTAATGTTTACACGTTTCGATTTTAAGTGCTTTCGTTTGTAGTACTTATCTGTGATCTATGGGTTATGAGCTCAGTTTCGTAATCTAACTTATCATTTTTTCTTCAGCTGTAAGCAATTGCAGCTGAATAACCCTTCGCGTTGATTTCGGCAGTGGTATGAGCTATGACGGTTAAGAAAACAAAGGCAAATTACCTCATGAAGGATATGAAACTAACTTGGTCTTTACGTCATTTACGTCAGCATTATCAGTTTGCACTTTTGCCATTAGGTGGCGTGGGTAAGGAACAGTTGGCTAATTGGTAGCAATGGCTATTGTCATCCCGTGTCGATGTGGAAGCTCTTTAATGTCATCAGTCCATGCTCTAATAGAGCGACCTCTTGCTTTCACTTGAGATCCACCCAGCTGTAGCGCCTGTGTTTTGCGGTTGTGGCTGCAATCTAACGAGGTGTCGAAACCTTTGATCATCTGTTCCACAATGAAGTTGGTGCAAGGTGTTGCTCCATCAATCTGTCTGATAGTACCCTTTATCGTTTAGTCTTGGATGATTGAGCTGGCACTTCTTTATAGGCATCTCATTTTACATGTTTGTGTGTGTGTGTGTGTGTGTGTCTGTTTTTTTTTTTTTTTTACAAAGGTTAGTTTTTAAAATTGCCCATTTGACACTGGTTTGACACAGATTGTTGTTGCAGTAGTAGTAGTAGTAGTAGTAGTAGTAGTAGAAGTAATAGTAGTAGTAGTAGTAGTAGTAGTAGTAGTAGTAGTAGTAGTAGTAGTAGTAGTAGTAGTAGTAGTAGTAGTAGTAGTAGTAGTAGTAGTAGTAGCAGTAGTAGATGTAGTTGTTGTTGTAGCAGCAGCAGCAGAAGTAGTAAAAGAAGTTGTAGTAATATATATTAGTAGTA